ATGTGTACAGCATAATTTTTTACCTTCAACATGACTTTCAGCCTGTGAACAATGTTTGCTTCTTTCAGTTCCCTTAGTCTTGCTTTTACATCTTCCTCAACATCTGTTAAAGTTTTATCTTTTTCCAACCTATTTATAATTTAGAATTACTGCAATTTGCAACTACAAACTTTTCACGAGATTTTTGTAAAAACAAAGTGATTCCTATAGCATAATATGCATCACAAAGAGGAGACATAATGCCTTGAGCAACACCATCTACCAGTAGCACTTCAAACTGAGTTTGCAATGAACTACAATCTTCATGAAGAGAAAGCTACAAAAAATAGATGCTATAAAATCATTATTACAAAACTTACATCATATATAATACCAGTCTCATCTGAACGTGGTTTTACTGCAATCAAAATCAATATAAAACTATTGATAATTAAGTTTGTAATTTATACTTACCATTAACAGATAAATACATTGAGGTTTTTGAATGTAGAAAGATAACTTTATGAGAATCACAAATTTCATCCTGAAATGTCATTTGCCATTTTTATTATTTATAACAGTATAATACATGTACTAGTACCTTGCAGTCTGTAGGATCAGAAGTTGGCAAAATTTCAAATAACAAACTTGCTTCATTATCTTTATTTAAATCAGAGAGAACAAACTGCATAAGAAATTAATAAATCATGTATTATAATAGGCTAACTTTAGTAATTCTTTTTTCTCTTGTAAATGAGATATACTTAAATGTAAACAAATGCTTAATTCGACATTTCTCTCCAAACAAAATTGGAGCACCTATACCGTAAGAACACTGGTACATGTCAATTGCTGATAGTTATAAAATACCAGGAGGTCCTTCTGACACTTTTTCCAGTTGAAAAAAGGTATCACCTTGTTGTGGTAGAGTCCTAAAAGTTCCCTCCATGTACTTAATTAAACCAACTATTAATTGTGGCTTTCCTTGCTGGCTTTTTTGAGCACTATCACCACAATCTTGCTCTGGCTGTTCAAGGGAATACTCGTGGGAATCTTCATCATCTTCATGAATCTTGCTGTCAATATTACCAAACAAGTATGCTTCAATATTCAGGAGAGTAGCTAAATTAATTACACTACCTCCCTAAAAATTTATAAAAAAACTATCACCATTATTATCTAAATACTTTTATACTCCTTGGATTCTGTTTCACGTATTCCTGACAGTATAATTTGATAGTGTACACAGTTCCATTGATATTAGCTTTTAAAGTTGGCTTATAGCTATAATTATGCATAATAACATGATTACAAAAACGAATGAAACATTTTCTGTACAAATTATAGCTACATGTATATACCTTTTTTTCCTATGATTGTAATCAAAAGTAACCAATGAATTTTTGCCAAAAGTTGACTCAAGTTTGATTGAATAATTGTCTTTGAGCTAAAACAGAAAATAAAGATGAATATGAAATTAATACATGCAAACACATAGTCTTACTTCTTCACCCCATGCTAAATCATGATTAGGGGAAATAATCCTAAACAAACTTTTAGCATTGGATTCATGTTGTAGCTTCACTTCCTATAGACACATATCTGAATGTCACAACAAAGAAAGTCTTGCATATTAGTAACTTACATTTTCATCATTTGCTGTCAAGAATTTGCCTGAAGCTTGGTGTTTCAACTATCAAATCATATAAAATACTATATATGCATCAATTCTATAGCAACTAACACAAACAACACTGCCATAAGTAATCTTTTCTATCACTTCACTTGATGTCTGTTGTGTTGACTTTTTCTCAAGAGTGATACTAAATGTTGCAACTAAAAGTGAAGTGGTGGCATAAATACAAGCATGAACTCAAAATCTTGTCTCACAATCAGCAACTTTAATATTTTCTTTATGAACAATATCCAACTCCAGGTCAAGTTTTCCAGGTCTGACACATCAATACAATTGCAATGACGAGCTATTATACTCTTACCTATTAGGTGCACCATACACATATCCAGACTCAAAAGAACAGTAAAGCTGAATGATGTCTCCATCATGTACATTAAATGAGCTAGTAGGCTCCATGCTTAGATTGAGTGTGGCACAACTGGACTGTAACAATACTTTCCTTCAAAAAACAAAAACAAGCAGAATTGTGAATATAACAATTCAATAATAAATATCATTAAAAAAATTCCTTTCTCACTTTGAGGTCTTCCTTAAAAATAACCATTGACATAACAAAAAATCATGAATGAAAGACAGGAAATATAGCCACTTGTTAACACTATGTGTGATGTACATGTATATGCACAGAGCAACTTTCACATAATATGAGATTCATCATTGAAGAGGTCATAATCTAAAAAACATATAACAATTATAAACTACTTCCTTACATGCCATAAATGAAGGATTTATACAGAACTGGACTTACAATACTTTCATTCAAAAAACAAAAACAAAAATGTGAAATAAATATCATTAAAGGAAATTCCTTCTCACTTTGAGGTCTTCTTCAAATATAATTATTGACATAACAAAAAAATCATGAATAAATGAACTAGCCATTTGTTGACACAATTATTGGAATGCAAAAATTAATGAAGCGAACACTCCATTCACATTTTACTCAAACTCCTACAAGTACACCATGCATGATGTATATGCACAGAGCATCTTTCACATAATAAGAAATTCATCATTGAAAAAGTCA